TTAGAGTGATGCGTGTGGGATATCCAGGGTGATCCAGTGTATGTGAACAGTGAGATGTTTGGGCGCTGAAGTCGCCATAGCCATTTGAGAGTGAACTCGTATCTGAAAGCCATATCTCTGAGTTTTGAGTGGGCGCATGTTGCCAGTATGCTGCGTTGCTGTTTACATGCATGAAAAGTGTGTTTGAGAACGAGTCTGATTGCAAAAATGAATCGGCGGCTCATGAGTCATGACCTCCTCGGGTTTTTAGAAGAGGCTCAATCTGTTTGTTTTTCGGATGCACTGGTTGTTTAACGAAAGTGCGCTTGCCGGGTTGCTCTGCTGTGATGCTTACTGTCTGATCATGGGACTTAAATTTGCAATGGATGGTCTGTAAGATTTCTCTCTGTTCTTTTTTTAACTATAGTGTGGAACCGTGTTGCATACCAGCCGACTGCCGACACCGACCGTCGACCGTTCTGTAGCCTACTCGTAGGGCCGACCGGTCGGTGGTCGGCCAACCAGTTGCTGGAGGGTCATCCACTGAATTTTTTAAAAGTCTGAGTTGGGGCTGTACTGCGCTTGCTGAGCACAGCCCAAATCCGCTGAGAAACTTAAGTGGAAGGCAGTCCGGGGCAGGGGGGATTTTGAAGGAGGGGAGGAGAGGGGGGAGCGGTATTGGGAGTTCGAGGGGTTATCATAATGGTGCTTCTGCGTTTTCTTTTTGCAGGGTGCTGAGTAGCAGCGGACTGGTAGTTGTGGACAGGTGAACCGGTTGACTGGTTGGTCGCCGACCAATTGAGGGGCAGCTACCATCGATGTGATTACACTGGTTTGGAACGTCTCTCGTTTTATGGTTGTCGTTCTTGTGCAGGCGCCATGCTAATCCTCTTTGTATTGTTGCAATTTTAACGGATATCCCGATGCACGGTGAGGTATATGCTTTGACTAACCCACCCGTACCTCTGTCGAGTACCTGGGTTAGTAGGCGGCCTGGTCTTTTTTGGTTGCTTTGTTGGATTAATGAATCGACAGTCACAGTTGCCCTCTCCCCCTCCCCGTCTGCCTCCCTCACCGATCCTCTCTGCAGGGGTTGGGCTGGTTTGTCAGGCAACATGTGGTGGACACAGGAAAACAGAAGAGTAAGATAATGAGGAGAATATCGGGGAGAGTGAGTAGTAGGCAGGGGTAGAACTTGCTGGAAGAAAGTCGCATCCACTATGGGTGTGAATGATGGCGAGCGAGAGCGCCGTCGTCAGAGATCGACGGCCTGCGCAGTGACACTCTCGTCAGGACAAGTCAGCAAGCACAAGCTGGGATTATGGTTGAAGAAAGTCGCAGCCGCTATGGGTGTGAATGATGGGGAGCGAGAGCACCCTTGTCAGAGATCGACGGCCTGTGCAGCAACACTCGCGTCAGGGATCTCCTCAAGTCAGCAAGCACAAGCTGGGATAGACGTCCAGAGAGAGATCAAACACATACAAATACTTGATGTATGTTGTCTGGGGGACAGCACAGAGCAAAGAGTTTTTTAAGCAGCAGGAGATGGGGAATTGCGTGCTAGGGTTTTGCAAAGACTTTGTCGGTGAGGATGGAGGAGGGGCAAGGGGGGCAGGCTCAGTTGTAGAAGTGGGCTTAAAATGTGAGGGATATCTGGTGGATTTTGCAGCTTGCACCATCAGTAACCTGAGTCCAGCAGTTGGGACATCATATATGGGTTAGATTCGTTGCATTTGCGCAGGACATTGTCAAAACTGTGTATCGTACCTCTGAACAGTTTATCCAGTCGCTCTGGGACAGGGTATTCTCTTCAGGACAGGTACATAGTCTGTCCAAGGTGTGTACACATCCTTCACCCCCTGCTTGATGCAACTGGAAAAGGATGAGTGGTGTCTCACATCCCTTCGGTATGTGAGAAGTGGGTCTTCCCAAGACCTGTTATGACCAGTCGGCCACCGGAGCTTATCCGACCCATAAGACCGGTTTCAAAGAGAGAAAAAGAAAAAGAATTCACGAGAACGACTCCCTCTGCACACTTTATTGCCCATGTTTCTCTTCTCCTACCTACTCCCCCTGCTCCTGCTGCTTTATCTGCATGTGTTAACTTTCTGTGCGCCGTTGCCTGGTGCACGTGCTCTGTTTGTGTGTCGGGTGGTTTTGGGGGTGGGGGAGAGAGAGAGAGAGAGAAAGAGAGAGAGAGAGAGAGAGAGAGAGAGAGAGAGAGAGAGAGAGAGAGAGAGAGAGAGAGAGAGAGAGAGAGAGAGAGAGAGAGAGAGAGAGAGAGAGAGAGAGAGAGAGAGAGAGAGAGAGAGAGAGAGAGAGAGAGAGAGAGAGTCCTCTTCTTGCCCTGTTTTGCCCCCACCTCTGCCTAGTCCATTGTGAAACCATCCTCAGATCTCAGCTGGAAACTGTAGAAATCACAGCGATCTCAGCTGGAAACTGTAGAAATCACAGCCAGATGGCCAGAAGGCTGGCTGGCTGTGATGGCCAGAGGGATTGCCATATCAGTGGATGAGGATGCGATAGGATGATTAGACGAACTCAAGGATGGAAGCAGGAGGGGAAGAATGGATGCCTAGTAGTGATTCTTGACATTAATCACAGACGGAACGTGAGACGAGTAGTATAGTACATGAGAAGGGCAAGCTGACAGTCAATCCTCCTGTAACATGGAGCAATCAATGCTCGCCGGGGATCCTTTTTCGTATGAACGGGACGATGGATGAGCGTGTAGATGATGTATTTTACTGTTTGCTATTTTGACTTGCCGGTGGGGAACCGGAACTGGAGTGACGCTCCACCGATGGAGCCAGGGCCATCAGGACCTGTTATTAAAAACAAAGAGAAGCCAGAGGGGATTTACTCTTCCGTACTCGCTGAGCACCGGGCATGCACGCTTGACGGCTCGCGGCACACATCCATCCAGCCAAAATGGGGCGCATGCGGATGTCCAGTGAAATGGTGCAACGGTACGACCTAAGAGTTGCGGCAGCTCACACGACACGCGCCTGAAAAAATATGGCCATACTGGTGACAGATGCTCTCCAGTTGTTGTGGTGATGCTGGCAGTTCCATCTCTGCAGCCATTGTCCTCTCTGCAGCCGTCGTCCTCCCTGCAGCCTTCATCCTCTTTTTGTCCCATCCATCCTTGTCCTCGTTGGAACACTTGATGCCTGTGTCTAGCACACAGAGCAATTGCACTGATCGGTTTAAACCATGGCTACGCCGGACCCGGACCCAGACCCAGACAGCTCATGTCCGGGGACCGGACGC